TATTTGAACATAGTAGGATAAAAACAAACGCGAGTTCTAGCTGCTTATATTCAGGTCTTACCACATTTTGTCCCTTTAAGAACTTGTCCTTTGTCACAGACGAGACCAACTATGCGTACCACTGGTGGTTTTGATAAATCATATTCCAAAACAACCCCACTGATGTTTAAAGGCAGATCTGTTTCATTCAGGGATGCTAGAATGGTACTTGATATCTGTTGAGTTGTCTGGTTCGGACCAACCACGGATGTATTGCTTGGCAGTGGAACTCTTAAAGCGAATTTTACCGTGAGAGGAACATTAAAAGCCTGTTGGATATAAATTATGTCCCTTCTGCGCAGAGTAATGCTCCGTTCTCCGCATTCCACTTGGACATTTTCAATGGCGCATTTTTCTTTTCCATCACAACCTCCAATAGTACCCAAGAGTTGTGTAAAAAGTTCTATGAAGCTGCTGGCGAAGAAGGCGTGCTTTTCTTCCGTACATTGTTTGGCTAGATAGTGCAGTTCTGAAGTAAATAAAGCTTTTGCTTGGCGTTTCTCTGTAAAGACAAATCACATGAATTAACTCTCCAGCTAATAACTGAAGCGGCTAACGGGCGAAGCTAACCATTTACTGGCATAATTCCATAATTTTGCCCGAAGCTGGACAACAATTTATCAGTCGCGCTTAAAAGGGGAGCAGTTCATGGGTGAAAATTCGTCATTGAATTTTAAGCCATTTTTCTCTATCCCCTCCTCCAAGTCTCCTGCAAACAATAAATTGTCTGAAGTGTCTGAATCATGGATTATTTCCTTGTCCCTTTATCATTATCCTTGTCCTTGTCCTTGTCCTTGTCCTTGTCCTTGTCCTTGTCCTTGTCCTTGTCCTTGTCCTTGTCCTTGTCATTATCATGATTATTTATTTCCTTTTTTGTTATTTTTTTGTCGTTAAATGGGGTTTTTCCTAACTACCTGTTGGTCATGATTTTGTTGCTAAGGAGGACTCTAGTAGTCCGCAACTATACATGTCAAGTTACCTTTCTTGATAGTTATAATTTGCATGTTAACATCAAGCGCCAGGAAAAACAGCAAGCAAATCCAGCACCAGATGGCACTCATGACACTCATGACTATATCGGAAATCGTCTTCCTGCGTAAGGCAAAAAGGTAAAATAATGTTACCAAAGTAGTAGGGAAAGTTGTGCGGCGTTTTCGCACAAAAGTATCACGGAAAAGAAATAGAACAAAGTAGTCCTTTGCAAGAATTCCAGCTATATGACAAATGTAAATCTATCTATTCTAGCTAATTACCTCACTTACAGGTCACGTTTGGCTTACGGGATAAATAAACGAAATATCGCAAAAAAATCTTGTTCTACGCTTGTCACCTAAAATTTTAAATGGCTGCCACTATTTCGGCTAAAAGTGCATATTGAATACGTTCCGTCGGAAGTAAATTAAGTGGCTTAGCTATAGTCACATTTCAGATCAGAATAATTTGGTGTGAAAGGACTGTTCATTGCTTCGTTGCTTGATAGGGACTTATCAACCCTTATTCGCAAGTTTATATCTAGATTTTTACTGCTTCAAACGATGTTCTCGAAAGACTGAAAATCTAAAAATATATGTTATAAATTTTATCATGTACATGAACGTTCGAAAAATGCCTTCTGTTTGTTTATACATAATATTTTAGAGCATGTACATAGGCCGTGTTTTCACGAGCGGTTTTTCAGGTCTCTTAGCGAGTGACAACCGGAAATCCCTTGAAAACAGTTACTTTTCTAACTCAAGCGTCGTGAAAATATAAACACAAATTCATTAACTTGTAAAAAAAACTGCTAATTGCTTGTTCTGGTGTGTCATCTATTGGTTAAGGATATAAAAGGAACACGTTTCAATGAGTATTAGTGAAGTATAACTATTGCTGCACTTTCCACCCTAAACAGTCGTTCTAGCTGCTTGAAGCATCAAATGTCTTCCACCCCACTCAAAAACAACTCCTGATTAAATTAAGTTCTTAATTAGAACGATGAAATCACGCTACTAACTTGAGCCTGACAAATTAAGCCTGACCCAAAAGACAATAGTTTCGAAGCCAGTGGTTGCGTGAGCTGGCAATGGCTTTATTCACTTCGTAAAAGAGCGACGGGCAAACAACCGTGATAATATCAAAAGGATGTTGGTTAGTACAGAGCTCGCAAGCCTCGTGCATTTAGTGGGAGGCTCATGGAAATGAATTTGGCGCTCCGCTATTTTGCCGGATTCTTCCTCAGTTGTTGAAATATCAACTCAAGAAGAGCTCTGCATGAATAGGTATCTACACAGTTTACGAACGAGTGTCTCGTTTAAAACCATACAATAACTGAACTAAATTTTCATATCCAGCCCTTTTTAAGTTGAAATTAGCTAGAAACGAACCTGTAGTTACTGAAATCCAAAGCCGTCAGAAGAGAGTACTACGCCGGCATATTAGTTCAAAACGAAACAGAAAGTTAGAAATTGTAGACGGTGGCGTGTTGATATTAAGACGTCATTTCAAGGTTAATGTCTCTTTTGATATGTGACGACACGTTTTGCTTCCTATCCTGGCCAAATAAGGACATTGTGTGTCGTTAGGGGTAGGACTCCTGGTAACATACTGTTATTGCAAAGAACCTTAAGTAGCGATGAAATTGATTGGCTGTTAGCAAATCCCAAAATTAGCGTAACTTGACTCAAGTAACCGATATTTATTGACAAGATCGCTTTTTACTGATTCCTCGAAGTTTGAAAAAGAGAAGGTTTTCAAATTTTCACTAATCGAGTTCCATCTTTTGGGGGCTGTAAATCTTACGTCGAATATTCCATAATTGTCCTTACCTTAGGTAAAGTATAGAACATATTAGAATAACTTCTTGTATTATAGTTATGTCTTTTATTGACTTGAGTGAAGGAAGTATCAAACACAGATGGTGGACGTCTACTGTGAAATTTATACATAAAGACTGCAATATTAAGAAAGACAAGGTCAGGCAGTTTATCAATATTTAATTGTTTGAGAATTGGACTAGAGTGCTCATGAAATTTAGAGAAAGTCATCACTCTCATTGCTCTCTTTTTTTTTTAATAAACAAAGGCTTGGTAGTTGAAGAATAGGTATTACCCAAAAAATTAAACCATGGGTAAAGAAGTAGATAGATAGATAGAAGTGATATATTGTTAGGCATAATATAGTTTAACCAGAATATCTGAATTTACATAATAACAAAGTTTAGAAAGAATCTCAATAATTCGCTTAATCTTATAGCAATATAGCCTACTTGACTTTTCCATGATAAATTAGAAAAAAATTATAATATAACCTTGATATTTTATTGAATACTCTTGGTTTATGTTTGTGCCATTTAAAGAGAGTGTGACATGAAAAAGTAACTTTCTTTGTGGAGGGTAGACAATGACAAAGTTTGACTTATTAATATTAAGTGAAAGTTTGTTGGCACTTAACCAAGTATGAATATTTACTAGTTCATTGTATACTTTGCATTCAAGGACTTTAAGATTTTTGTGTTTATAAAGGAGAGTGGCATCATTTGCAAATAGATGAAAATCTAGAATTTCAGAGCAGTTACTAAAATCATTGTACTGTTTGCAATAAATTACTTTATTCTTCTCCAAAAATTCTAATATTCTCTTACGCAATAGCTTTTCTGACAGTTCATGAATACATTGAGAGAATAGAAACGGGACGATAATTATTTAGACTTGCTTGTTCACCCTTTTTAAAAACAGGGTTAACCTTAGCTATTTTGAATAAATCTGGGACAATTCCAGTAGAAAAGGACGCACTGAATATAATTTTTTGAGGTGCAGACATAACATGTTTGGTAGCTTTTAAAATAGCAACTGGTATGCTGTAAGGTCCTGTAGACTAGCCCAATAATTTCATTTTCAGTTTCAACTGCTGCTGTGGGAAATAGAAAGAAACTATCTTGGGATGGAACTGTGAGATACTAAAGGGGGGATTTATTTACACTAGGAATATTCTTTGTTAGCAAAGAAATTGTTAAAAGCATCAGCAGCCATTGACCTAAGATCATTTATTTCAAGATCCTCGACAAGTAATTTAGTGGGAGTAGAGTCAGATCTAAGATTAACAAGTTGTTTTATCCCCTTCCACACTTTCTTAAAATCAGACATATTTACATGGAAATAATTATCATGATAATTGTTTTACTTAATTTTAATAAGTGATTAATTTTATTTCTATAAACGTTGAATTTAGTGTGATAATATACCGAGTTAGTTGAAATATACGTGTATTTCTTGAAAAGTTTGTTTTTTGTTTTGAATTAGACCCTTAGGGTTAAAGAGGTGGTTATCCATGGCTTAGAGTTCATTTTTAATTCACGTTTAGAGAGTTGTATGAGAGGGATATGAGTATCACTTATGTCAGAGATTCTGGTGTAAAAAGAATCAAACATCAATCTCAGTGAGACCCACTATTGAGAAAAGCAAATATAATTCAGAGAGCATAAATGTTGCAAATTATCAAGGTTGAATGACAAGCTCCTAATATTGCAGCACGTGCAAAGCAGAAAAGCATTTGTCAGAAAAATATTCATTTATGTAATGATCATCATGAAATTTGAGAATTATAGTACTGAAAACTCATATGAATCTTCGAGGTAGAATCGAGTTACAAACAGTGACAGGAATTTCAAAACGATGGAAGAGGGCCGGCGTATGTAACTGATTTTGTTAGTGGCTCAAAGACTTCCTCTAGAAGGTCCCTTTTCGTGCTGAATACCTGGATGTTTAGGAACATTGCGGACTCCAGGAAGATATTTACTTGTTCCACGCAGTCTGTTTTGAAAGGCTTAATGACGTCCAGGTTTATTTTCGAAAAAAAAAAATGTTGTCGACATCGTTTTTGCGAAAGTTAATGCCCTTTTCTGCATTTTCCCCGTACGAATTCGTTAAATACCGTGTCGTCAAAATCGTTTCGCGAAATCATGTCATCCACATGCAGTTTTGACTCGACACCGTCCATCGCGTTGCCTTCGTCAGTGCTCTGAAACTCGTCTCATTTGCTCAGTGATGAGCTGAGGTAGATTGTTTAGAATTCTAACATGTATGTTTGCTGATCTAGTTACTTGTGTATAAGTTACGTACTCACAATTCTTTGGAACAGCTTCAAGATTCCTCCAGCTTCGACAGCCTCTTGCCTACGCGTTTGGACCGGAAGATGGGACAGCGAAAGTCTTCCTCCTTACTTGTATAAACATAAGAAAAGGGGTTTTTNATACCGTTTCGTCAAAATCGTTTCGCGAAATCATGTCATCCACATGCAGTTTTGACTAGACACCGGCCATTGCGTTGCCTTCGTCAGTGCTCTGAAACTCATCTCATTTGCTCAGTGATACACGCTGAGGTAGATTTTTAGAATTCTAACATGTATGTGGGCTAATCTAGTTACTTGTGTATAAGTTACGTACTCACAGTTCTTTAGAACAGCTTCAAGATTCCTCCTGCTTCGACAGCTTCTTGCCTACGCGTTTGGACCGGAAGATGGGAAAGCGAAAGTCTTCCTCCTTACTTGTATAAATATAAGAAAAGGGGTTTTTCCCGTTCTTGTGAAACTAATGGACCACAGTTAACTGCGGTCGTAGTCGTAGTTCCTTCCCATACTAGGAAGCTTTTTCGCCAAGCTACAACAGCTGTTGGAGCCAGCCAGAATTATGTCCATGCAGTCTTTGTGAGTATCCCTGTTGGTCTTCCAATTGATAGTTTGACTGGATTTGTTCTGTGCGTTTGATTATTGAATCCAGAATTATCTAGAAGCAACTACTCGGCGATGATTGATTGTCGGAATTGATTATATGATAACGTTTCCGCTTTCTGATTAGGGACAAAACCCTTTGGAGGGGATAAATCCCTGTGCCCTGAAAGGTCATTTCTCTTAAATGCATGATCCCTTTACAGCTTACTAGACACCATAGTCTAACATCTTATCTCAAAGTGTCACTTGTTTACTGCGCAGAAATTCACTGGCAAACCAAACAAGTGTAACGCAAAGGATACGCTAGATCAAATTGGCAGTATACTTTTTCACTTACGTTTTTTTTATGAAGACAATTTGATCTGACGCAATCTAGCCCGATTTGACCCTTATTGACAAAGCTTTTGTTTTCTTGATTTTAATTGCCATGTTTGCTTATTCTCGAAAGTATGCATTATATTATAGTTGTTTGTTTGTTTGTTTGTTTGTTTTTTGTCGGCCCATCGTTTCGCTCTGTATTTAAGCCAATGTTTAGCTTAAATCTGTTGTTTGTTGCTTTATTTCAGTGATTGTAATGATACTGATATCGGAGGAATCGAAAAACAGTCAGTAATTTTTCAGCACAAAAATTATATTCTTCAAAATGTCGCAAATTTTAACCTCGTAGAGTGTAAAGAGTGTGTAGAATACAAGCGTTTCCTGTGGTAGCATAACGTTACTTCAAAATTGGCAGTCCTATATAAGGACATTTGACGAATGTCCAAAATCACCATTAATGAGATTCAAAGGCGCTTATTCAACAATCTACGAACGAATAACTTTTTAAAGAGTTGTTTATATAAAAGGCCTATGAAATATCGAAAGTAATGACTCCACCTAGTTTACTTCAAAATTGACAGGTAAATGTAAGGCTTAGGCCAATTGAAAGCTGACGGTCACAGAAGAAACATTAGCTCTATAATCGATATTGGTCGATCG